TTTCTGGGTAAAACATTTCCCGCACTCAGAACACGAATATGACTTGTCCCCCGTGTGGATGCTTTCGTGCCTGTTAAGAGCCATTTTGTGAGAAAAACATTTCCCGCACTCTGGGCAGGAATACGGCTTCTCCCCCGTGTGCACCCTCTTGTGCACCATGAGATACGATTTGCGGGAAAAGCATTTGCTGCACTCCGAGCACGAAAACGGCTTCTCTCCCGTGTGAACTCTTTTGTGTCTGTTAAGGATGGATTTCTGAGAAAAACACTTCCCGCACTCTGAGCACATATATGGCTTCTCCCCCGTGTGGACTCTTTTGTGTTTAATCAGTTCAGATTTCTGGGAGAAACATTTCCCGCACTCGGAACACGTGTACAGCTTATCCTTCGTGTGAACTCGCTCGTGAATGACAAGATCCGATTTACGGGGGAAACATTTCCCGCACTTGAAACACAAATAGGGCTTCTCCCCCGTGTGGACGATCTCATGTATGAGAAGAGCAGATTTACGGGAAAAGCTTTTTTGGCACCTGAGGCAGGAATACGGCTTCTCACCCGTTGACGTGTGAATGCTTTCGTGTCTGATGAGAGCCGACTTTTGGGGGAATCGTTTCCCACATTCGGGACAGGAATACGGCTTCTCCCCGGTGTGGACCCTCTCGTGTCTGGTCAGGCTTGAGCTGCAGGGAAAACATTTCCCACACTCGGGACAAGGATGGAGCTTCTGCATGGTGCGGACTCTCTGCGGAGGCGCGACTTCGGCTTTCTCGGCGAAACCTTCATCAGTACGAGCCGTAGGATAGGTGGTGGGGGGTGCGGAATCGGGATAAAAACCCCCCAGGGATGGAGGGATCCGATGACAGATCCTCACTGTGAAGTTCCCGGATGGAAATACGGGGTGATGGGGGTTCCGTCTGAGGAATTGGAGGTGATGTCATCGTCTTCTATGTCAGAAGTGATCAGGACTTCCTCGATGTTAGGGCTGTTGTGTTGGCCGTCTGCTGGGAAGAAGGATTGGAAATGGACATGTCATCTTTGTATGCTATATACTATCATACCAGGCCCCCGGCGGACTGACAACTCTCATGGGGCCCCCGGGCCAGGGGCGGACTGACAACTCATGGGGCCCCCGGGCCAGGGGCGGACTAGGGGATCAACTCATGGGGCCTCCGGGCAATAGGGGATCATGGGGCCCTGTGTCCTTGCCCAAACTCAAAAAAAGCCTATGAAAAAGGTACATGGGCATCTTATTGGGCCCCCTACTGACCCCGGGCCCTCGAGCAGTGCCCGAGTTTCCAAATGGTCAGTCCGCACCTGCTATATACAGCTGTGCTCAAACGTTTCCCTCCCCCGGCAGAAATTGTGAAATTTTGGCATTGATGTTGAAAATATGACTGACCATGCCAGAAAATGCTCTTTTATTGAAGGATGATGATCATATGAAGCCATTTATTATCACAGAGTTGTTTGGCTCCTTTTTAAATCATGATAACAGAAATCACCCAAATGGCCTGGATTAGAAGTCTCCACCCCCTGGATCAGAAGTCTCCACCCCCTGGATCAGAAGTCTCCGCCCCCTGGAATGTTTGGCCTTGGTACAGACACACAAGGCGACACATACAGGGTTACAATGCCAATTAGAGGTTAATTTCCCACATCTGTGGCTTTTTAAATTACAATTAGTGTCGGTGTATAAATAGTCAATGAGTCTTACGTGGAAGCACTGACTAGGCTAGATACTGAGCCATGGGGAGCAGAAAAGAACTGTCAAAAGTTCTGCGTAACGAGGTAATGGAACTTTATAAAGATGGAAAAGGACATAAAAAGATGTCTAAAGCCTTGAACATGCCAGCAGTGGTGTATTTAGGTTTTGTGCTGCCCTAGGCAACACAAAAATCGCCCCCTTCCATGGAGAGAGCCTGATGTTGACCAACAACACCCCTGCCCACCTCCCTCCTGACAGAGCCTTCCACTAACATTCCCCCCAACTCACCTTCACAGCTCTGGACATCCCCGGGAATGAGAGTTGGGGTTTCCATACACCATCATGCAGCCTGCAACCTCTCTTGGATCCCACCTGGTCCCCATGCCGCATGTGTGCCTTCATCCGCCCCTTCTTCCATCCCTTCTTCCAGGGGGTGGCGCTGCCCCCCTGAAAAATGCCACCCTAGGCAAATGCCTTGTTTGCCTTGTGGCAAGTATGGCCCTGCATGCCAGTCATCGCTTCCATGAAGAAGTAGAAAATTCAGAGATCTCTTGTTACCAAGCCAAAGTCAGGTAGACCAAGAAAGATTGCAGCCACAACTGCCAGAAGAATTGTTCGGGATACAAAGGGAAACCCATAGGTGACCTCAGGAGAAATCCAGGCTGCTCTGGAAAAAGACAGTGCGGTTGTTTTGAAGAAACAGAATATGATGACACTTGAACAAAAATGAGCTGCATGGTGGAGGTGCCAGAAAGAAGCCTTTACTGCATCAATGACACAAGAAGGCCCGGTTAGGCATGTCAAGGTGTTGTCAGGCATATTGTAGCCGGGCTTTTTTGTGGCATTGGTGCAGTAAAAGCTTCTTTCTGGCACCTCCACCAAACAGCTCCTTTTTGTTCAAGTGTCACCATATTGTGCTCCTTAAAAACAACCACACTGTCTTTTTCCAGAGCAGCCTGGATTTCTTTTGAGGTTGCCTGGGGGGTTTTTTTTGAATCCCGGACAATTCTTCTGGCAGTTATGGCTGCAATCTTTCTTGGTCTACCTGACATTGACTTGGTATCAGAGATCCCCGAACTTTCCACTTCTTAATAGGTGATTGAACCTGATTGGCTGTCACGTACTTGATGGGAGACTGAAATGACGAGGTGGCCTCACTTGTGTCAACTAGCCCTGACCCCGCTGATGTTGGAACAGAGGGAGTCTAGGACCCAGGGGAACAAGAGCGCCAGTAGTTGTTGTTTTGCAGCTCTTGCAGATGATGACTCTGGATGATGATCTTCTGATTCAGGCAAGTAGTAACAAGCAGAGCAGGTCTTGTAGATTGCGCAGCAGAGCAAGGTTAGTGAGGACAGTTGTCATTTTCATCAACAGTCGGGCAGCCCATGGGAAAGCTCAGGAGCAGAGCCGAAGTCGGTGGAGAGCAATAGAGTCAGGTGAGGAACAAGCTGGGTCCAGCATACAAAGGAATCACACAGGAACAAGCAGGACAATGGACTGAAGACCAGTCAGCACACATGGGCAGAGACACTCCTTAAACAGGCTGCCTGGCGCCAATCTTAATCAAACACATGCGCACAACCGAATTCTTCTCCGTTCCTTATGCGCATGCGACATTTCCGATCGCGACCTCTTCCTTACATTGGCATATTCATTGTGACTTTTTATGTCCTTTACCATCTTTATAAAGTTCCATTACCTTGTTACACAGGAATTTTGACAGTGCTCCCCATTGTATCTAGTAGTCTGTACCAATAAGGCTAACAAACCCATTGATTCCAGGGTCGGACACTAATTGGGGCGGAGACCTTAATTGGCATTTTACCGGGGTGCACCTTGGAGTCTGTACCAAGGCCCAACATCTGGGGGCGGAGAGACTTTTAAACCGGGGGCGGAGACTTCTGATCCAGGCCATTTGGGGGATTTCTGTTATCATGATTTAAAAAGGAGCCAAACACTCTCTGTGATAATAAATGGCTTCCTATGATCATCATCCTTCAATAAAAGAGCATTTTTGGCATGATCAGTCATATTTTCAATATCAATGCCAAAACGTGCATTCAGTGGAAACGTTTTGAGCACAACTGTATGTATCATTACCAGCACGTTTTTTTCAGTTACATAGTTCCATAGTTAGTCTGGCTGAAAAAAGACACCCACAAAGAAAAAACCCAGCAAAGTACGATCCAATTTGCTCCTGCAGGGGAAAGAATTCCTTCCTGATCCCCGAGAGGCAATCGGATATTCCCTGGATCAACGTTCCCTATAAATGTTATATCCAGTTATATTCTGTGTATCCAAGAAAGAATCCAGGACTTTTTAACCGCCTCCCACCTGCCGTATAAGGAAATGAGGCGGCTCTCTCATTCTGGGAGGAGTCAGTGTCATTTCACTCTAACCACGCATGCGTGCCCCCGGTGGTGCGCTGTGTCCCTGGAGCACAGAAGATCAACGGAAAGAGCCGATGATGTCAGCTCTGTCATGTGATCAGCTGTGTCCAATCACAGCTGATCGCATATAATTAAGGAAATGCCAGTTATCAGCATTCCTCTCCTCATGTGCTGTCATGCTGACAGAGGAGAAGAGAGGAGAGCTGGTAATTGGCATTCCTCAGAGGGGGCATGTACACTGATCATCATGGCACTGATGATCAGTGTAGCCCCATAAATGCCAATGCAACCCATCACTGCCACCCATCATTGCCCATCAATGCCCCATGCCATCAGTGCCACATCAATCTGCCACATATCAGTGTCTACTAGTGCCCATCAATGCCACCTACCAGTGCCCATCAGTGCCACATATCGGTGCCCATCTGAGCTGCCTTTCAGTGCCACCTATCAGTGCCATATATGAGTGCTGCCTTCCAGTGCCCATCAGTGATGCCTGTCAATGTCCATCAGTGCCACCTACAAGTGCCTCCTCATCAGTGCCCATCAGTGCCACCTATTAGTGCCCATCGCTGCAGCCTCATTAGTGAAAAAAATCACTTACTGACAACATTTTGTAACAGAAACTAAGAAAAAAAAGAAGAAGGGGGTAGAAGTGCCCGGTTTCCGGGAAGGGGGTAGAAGTGCCCGGTAGGCAGGAAGCGGGTGGAAGTGCCCGGTAGGCGGGAAGGGGGTGGAAGTGCCCTGTAGGCAGGAAGGGGGTAGAAGTGCCCTGTAGGCGGGAAGGGGGTAGAAGTGCCCTGTAGGCGGGAAGGGGGTAGAAGTGCCCTGTAGACGGGAAGGGGGTAGAAGTGCCCGGTAGGCGGGAAGGGGGTAGAAGTGCCCGGTAGGCGGGAAGGGGGTAGAAGTGTCCGGTAGGCAGGAAGGGGGTAGAAGTGCCCTGTAGGCGGGAAGGGGGTAGAAGTGCCCTGTAGGTGGGAAGGGGGTGACAGTGCCCTGTAGGCGGGAAGGGGGTAGAAAGTGCCCGGTAGGCAGGAAGGGGGTAGAATGTCCGGTAGGCGAAGGAGGTAGGAAGTGTAGAAGTGTCCGGTAGGCGGGAAGGGGGTAGAAGTGCCCTCTAGGCGGGAAGGGGGTAGAAGGGGGTAGGTGGGAAGGGGGTGACAGTGCCCTGTAGGCAGGAAGGGGGTAGAAGTGCCCGGTGGGCAGGAAGGGGGTGACAGTGCCCTGTAGGCGGGAAGGGGGTAGAAGTGCCCGGTAGGCGGGAAGGGGGTAGAAAGTGCCCGATAGGCGGGAAGGGGGTAGAAGTGTCCGATGGGCGGGAAGGGGGTAGAAGTGCCCTGTAGGCGGGAAGGGGGTAGAAGTGCCCGGTAGGCGGGAAGGGGGTAGAAGTGCCCAGAGGGCAGGGAGGGGGTAGAAGTGCCCGGTGGGCGGGAAGGGGGTAGAAGTGCCCGGTGGGCGGGAAGGGGGTAGAAGTGTCCCCGTGGGGGGGAAGGGGGTAGAAGTGCCCGGTAGGCGGGAAGGGGGTGGGAGTGCCCGGTAGGCGGGAAGGGGGTAGAAGTGTCCGGTAGGCAGGAAGGGGGTAGAAGTGCCCTGTAGGCAGGAAGCGGGTGGAAGTGCCCGGTAGGCGGGAAGGGGGTGGAAGTGCCCTGTAGGCAGGAAGGGGGGTAGAAGTGCCTGGTAGGCAGGAAGGGGGTAGAAGTGTCCTGTAGGCAGGAAGCGGGTAGAAGTGTCCTGTAGGCAGGAAGGGGGTAGAAGTGTCCGGTGGGCAGGAAGGGGGTAGAAGTGCCCTGTAGGCAGGAAGGGGGTAGAAGTGTCCTGTAGGCAGGAAGGGGGTAGAAGTGTCCGGTGGGCAGGAAGGGGGGTAGAAGTGCCCTGCAGGCAGGAAGGGGGTAGAAGTGCCCTG